ATCTATCTTCCTACTTTCTATTATCTTTTATTTTGCTCTTTATGAATAATTTAGGTTTCTCATATGAGAAACCATGTGATATTTAACCTGTATGTCTGACTTATTTCACTTAGGATTATGGTCTCAAGGTGCATTAATTTTCCTACAAATGATTCAAATTTATCTCTCATTATGGCAGAATAGTACTCCGTTATGTATAAATACCATTTTTTTCTATTCATTCCTCTATTGATGGACATATAGGCTGCTCCAAGATTCAGCTATTATGAACTGTGCTGCTATAAACATGGGAATGCAATATGGACATTTCAACAATACTAATTCTTCCAATCCATAAACATGGGATATCTTTCCATTTATATGTACCTTCTTTCACCAATGCTGCACAATTTTTAGTGTCAAGATTTTTCACCTCCTTGGTTAAATTTATTCCTAAATCATTATTTTCTACAGCTACTATAACTGGGATTGTCATCTTTTTCAGATAGTCAGTTGTTAATACACAGAAATGCTACTGAGTTTTGTATACTGATTTTTTTTTTTTTTTTGGTACTGGAGATCAAACTTACAACCTTGCGCTTCTGAGGCAGGCACGGTGCCACTGAGCTAAATCCCTGGCCCTCGTATATTGATTTTGTGTTCTGTGACTCTACTAGATGCATTTTTTTGTTCAAACATTTTGTTTCATGGACTAAGATTTCCTAAATATAAGAATGTCACCAGGCACAGTGGTACACACATGTAAATCCTAGCACTCTGTAGGCTAAAGCAGGGGACTGCTAGTTTGAACCCAGCCTGGGCAATTTAACATCTCAATAAGACCCTGTCTCAAAATAAAATTTTTAAAAGGGCTGAGAATATAGCTCAGTGTAAAGGTCCTGGATTCAATGCCCAATACCACAAGAAAAAATATGTCAGTTGCAAACTGCGACAGTTTAACTTTTTTCTTTCCAATTTAGACACCCTATCTTTCTCCTGCCTACTTGCTCAGAGTCGGGCTTTCAGTTCTATTGAACATAAGTAGAAAAAGTGAGAAAAAAACCTTCAACTTTTCCCTATTCAATACGCCAACTGTGGTTTAATCATACATGATTTATATTGTGTTGATGTATGTTCCTTGTATACCTAATCTGTTCAGTTTTTATCGTGAACAGAGGTTGAATTTTGTCAAATGCTTTCCCTATATCTACAGAAAGAATCATATGATTTTTGTCCTTCCTTCTGTGGATATGGTCACTTTTACTGATTTGCAAATGTAGAACCATTTCTGAACTCTGGGATGACTTTATCACGGTGAACGATCATTTTAAAATGTGGCATTAAATGTGATTTGCTAATATTCTGTTGAGGATTTTTTACGTCTATCTTCATCAAGGATAAAGGCTTATGGTTTATTTTGTTTGTTGTTCCTTGTATCCTTGCTGATTTAGGTATCAGGGCAACACTGGCATCGTAGAATTGAGTCTGGTAAGATTCCCTCATCAATTTTTTTAAGTGTTTAAGAAAATTAGTATTAGTTCTTCATTAAATGTTTGGTAGAATTCAGCAGTGAAGCCATCAGATCATGAACTTTTATGGGAGACTTTTTATTACGGACTCAAATCTTATTTGGATAGTTCAGGTTTTCTATTTCTTCATGATTCAATTTTGATAGGTTGCACATGTCCAGGACTTTATCCATTTCTCTTTCATCTGTCAAAAATTCTATGCAACTCTCAAGGCTCTATTCAAATATCACTTTCTCCAGTATAAAATAGGATGCAGTGGGGAAGAAGTGGAGGGACAGCCCTTTGTTACCTAACTTTGAGTGACATGTCTGCTATGTGTTATCAAAATATTGTGAATAGGAAAGCACTATCACATTATTGTAACTGCATCTTTTCATTTGACTTTCCTTCTAACAAATACCTATTGTTCACATCTACTCTATGACAGTATTATGCGAGAGATACCACTATCAGTTAAAATGCCCTTTCTTCACAGTGTTTATATTCATTAGGAGATGAGCATTTCATTTTGCCACAATATCTCCCATAAATGGGTCAAATCCCTCAACTGCAGGCATTATAGCATTGGATACCTCTCACAGTTAAAAATCTTCGGAATTCTTTGACTCCTCTCTCTTGCATCCCATATCCAGTTATTCAGCAAACCCTACTGGCCATACTCTTAAACATGCTCCTTCAAAGTATTTCCAAAAATTGATCCCTCTGTAACACTCTTCCTCCTCCAGATATCCTTATGGCTTATCTCATTCAAAGATTTGCACAAATGTCATTTTCTTTACCTTTTTTTTTTTTTTTGTTACCAGGGATCAAACTCGGGACCTTGCGCTTGCAAGGCAGGCGCTGGAACCACTGAGCTAAATCCCTGGCCCTTTTTAAAAAAAATTTTTTTTAAATGTCATTTTCTTAATAAGGCTACCCTGAAATCAACCCCACCCCTTCCCTTTATCCTGTTCTACTTTTTTCTTTTCTCTATGTCACTTACAGACTAACAAGCCATTGCTATGTTTAGTATCTTTTTCTCCCATATTAAAGCAAGTTTGCTATCTTTATTGCAAGCTGACATAGTCTAACTACCTAGAATTGTGCCTTGCAAATAGTACACACTTGTGCTAGCAAAATAAATGAATATTTTTATACCTGTCAGTGGGGTCATTTAATTAATGACTAAATGATTCACTACCTAGGCTGGAACAGGTAAAGTCAAAGACTGTCAGTTTGATCCACAAGAATTGTACAATAGTTGTTGTTGCTTTTTTTTTAATCAACAGGGCTACAAAATTCAAGTATGCTTAAAACTAAAGTGCTCAACACGAGCTCAAAGAGAAAAATTAATTCCCCAATTCGAAGAGCAGATACCCAATGCAAAATACTCTGTCATGATCAGTAGCTGTAGCTGCCCATTATTACATTAACTTATAATAAATATTGCAATCTATGCAATCTAAATCTCATTCTACAGTCACAAGATTTGAAAAAGAGAAAATAAACCTGCAAGATTTCCCAAAACTAATGTTTTCTCTCTGAATTCTCTCCCTGTCATGACCAGTAGCTGTGGTTGCCCATTATTACATTAACTTATAATAAATACTGCAAGCTCTGCAATCTAAATCTCATTCTATAGTCAAAAGATCTGAAAAATAGGAAATAAACCTGCAAGATTTCCCAAAGCTAATATTTTCCTACCCTCTTTCAAGTGCTTAGTCACTTCTGCCTATTGACAAGGAAGACCATTTCACATCTTGAAAGAGGGAGGGAATTTAGATTCCAGACTCCTGTCACCTGAGCTGCCCTAGACATTTGTTTCCATGAAACTCAAGAGAAGGCAGCAGCCAGCTAGGCATACCTACCACCTCGGATCAGAACCAGAAGTCACTGAACTTTCTCTGCTGCCTCTGTCTGAGTAACAAAGAGAGTCTGTGAATAGCAAAGTTTATTTTTCCCTGACACCAAATTCAAAAGGTGAGAATTAAAATGTAGCCTGAAGGGCCAGGGATTTAGCTCATTGGCACCATGCCGCCTTGAAAGCACAAGGTCCTGAGTTCAATCCCCCGTACCAAAAAAAAAAAAAAAATGTAGCCTGAAAACATCTCTGAGAGGCCACCAGAAATACCTTCCTTTTCTACTGTAATAGAAACAAACTGATTCTCAAAACAATTCAACACGCTGGGCATCTCCCTTGAAATAACTAACAAAACCCCAAACTAGATGCTAACAGGCTCTGCAGCACACTTCTCATAGAGCTGCAAGAGCCTTACAATCTGATAACATTGTTTCCAGATCCCCAGAGGTTAAGAATAAACAGGTTTTCAAAAAATATTTCAAGAGATTTTTCTCCGAAAAGGCAAATTTTTAAGTACCTTCTGTGCCAACGCCCTATCCCAACATTCCACTCACACTTAAAGATGCTAAGCACAAAAAGCTGACTACAGAAATATACCTGAAAGAACTCCCTCAAGTAGATACAGTAGGACCTTGCCAAAGACAAAGCACATTTTTTCCAAACATAACTCCGGATAGTGAATTCTGGAACAATGTGGCCAATCTCTGAAACAGAGCTTAGTCCACTTTCCAGAAAGTCATGAAGGACTCAAGACAACCTACTTGGATTATTTAGGACAGGACTTTTTCCCTTCCAAGAATATAAATGCTATAAAAAAACAGGCACGCTCCTGTAGTCACTGTTTCTAGGGAGGCTGAGGCGGGAGGATCACTGGGGCCCAGTTGTTCCAGGCCAGCCTGGGCAAGAGTGAGACCTCCACCTCTTAAATGAAAAAAAAAAGAAGAAAGACATTTCCTCGATTTCGGCATTTTCCAAACACCATTCTCATTTCTTCTCACACTAAAGCTATCACTTTGTATACATGAGTGCTGCCATCTTTAAGGCTAAAAAAAGGCATGAATTATCCTGGGTGAAAATTCTGAGGCTAAGAACTGTGCCCATAGTGTTCAGTGAAAGATCTCCGGCCTCAACATTTACCATTAAGTAACACTGATACTGAAGGGAGGCCATTAAATCCACTTACTGATCCCAACTAGTTGCACGTTACAAAATTGGGTGCAAAGAGCGCTAGAACATTGACTGGGGAGGTGAGGACTGAGGGTGGGGTGAAAGGAAACATCATTGCCAAAGCTAAAGATTTTTTTTTTTTCTTTAACCAATATAGCACATGTTCCCAATTTCCATCCTCCCCACGGGCAGAACCCACGTGCCGGTCCCACCGCTGCCCACAGGAGCTCCCTCTGGGACCCTCTCCGCAGCCTCCCCACGCCCTTCCCTCTGCCCTCTGCCCTCCGCCGGCCGCCACTGCCTCCCGCCCCCTCCCCAAGGCGGCAGCCCAGGCCGGCTCGGGGCCCGAGCACGCTCCCGCCTCCGCCCTGCGGGGTCACCCCCAGGCCCTGCGCGTTCTCTTCCCGCCGCCCGTTCCGAGGTCCCCCGCGACGCCAGCGCCGGGCAGGCCGCGCCTGCTGCGCCTGCTATGGTGGGCGCCTCACCGTCAGGCTGGGGAGCCGGGCCCGGCTGCGCCATGGCCGGGCGGCCGGCCAAGGGGAGCGGAGTTCGGCTGCCGCGGGCTCAGCTGGCGGAAAAGGCGTCGACCAAGCCGCCGCCGCCGCCGCCGCCGCAGCCCAGGGAGGAACCGCTAAGGCAGGAGCCGCGGGCGCCGCCACAGCCGCAGGCAGAGACGGACCTGAGCGCCGACCTCCGCCTCCTCATCCTGACAGCGGGAAATAAGCAATGCGCAGGCGCGGGGGGGAGGGGGCGGCACGTGACATTAGCCTGAGGGGAGGGCGGGACTTCGCGAGGGTGGGGGCTGCGGGGCGGGAGGGGAGGTGCCCAGAGAAGGAGGCTGGCTGCCCGAGCGCGACAGAGAGGTTGAAAGGGTAGGGAGGGGAGGACGCGTCCCGGCCGCGGCGGAACGTTCAGGCCTCCCTGAGGATTTATCCCCGCACGGAGGCAAAAAAATAATAAATACGTAGAGACGAAATTGGAGACCGGATGATCTTGGGAGAGTCATTTAACCTCTTGGAACTTTCATGAGCATAATACCTAATGAAATTATATATTAGGCAATAAAGTAGAAAGAACTGTTCCGACAGAACTGACCCTGGACCCCTGATCTTCTGAAGTGTACACTAGGGTACTTGCCATGAAGCAAATATATCTGGTTTTTACAAGCCAGGCACAGTGACAGCTGCCGAGGATAAAGCAAGCTGCAGTGCCTGCACTTGTGGCTAGAGAGGAGAAATAATATGCGGGAAATACTGCCTTTATACCTGAGCAAGAGAGCCCTAGTTTTTTGGTTTGGTTTGGTTTTTTTGGTACCGGGGATCGAACTCGGATCCTTGCGCTTGCAAGGCAGGTGGCAGAACTACTGAGGTAAATCCCCGAGGGCCCTGTATTTTAAAGACTTTCTTCCACACACACACACACACACCACCGCCACCGACCCGCCACACCTCTACGCCAACAGAGCAAGGTGTCCACAGTCTAGCACTTAAGGACAAGTCCAGGGCACCAGTGACAACCGGAATGCCTTCCCTAGATGGCTGAAGCTGTGGCCTCTTTCCCAGGTTCATCCTGTCTAGGACAGTCTGGGCATTGCCCAAATGCCAAAGGACAGTTGTGTTTTGGAGCAGTGGCACGGCACTTGGGCATTTTAGCTGCCATGCCCACAGATCCTTGGTGGTGCCAGGACAGAGTTAAGAAAAGGAGGCAGGTGAGCTATGGGTCAGTACTCCCACCAGGGTATGTACTCCCCTCATCTCCTCACTCAAGTGCATAAATCCCAGAAGTTAAAGATTTTCTGAATTCAGATCTCTTCTTCAGGCTTATTAAGATGTCTATTTGTCAAAGAAGAATAGGCTATATTAAGATTAGCAGTTAGACCTTGTTGGTTTTGTTGCTTCCGCCGCCATGAGCTGTTGTTGCCCCTCTGCCACTCTGCCTTGGAGCCAGCAAACTATGGTCTGAAAACTCTGTGAACTACAGGGGCTCCCTGCTGGGCTGACACCTGTGTGTGCAGGCAGTGGACTGGGTCACAGGGCTGGAACCTAATGAGGAATGGGTGGCTCCAGTGTTCCTGCTTATTCGGAAAGGAACTTGAAAGCTTCTGCAGGACCAAGGGTGGTGGTGACCAGAAGTGCAACTTGTTAGGCTTGCTCCATGTCCCCTGTAGGGAAAGTGCAGGGCCGCTAGGCTGGGCCTCAGACTTGAAGCCCTGGAGGATGAGGAGAGACCCAGTGACTCCTGATCCTGGAGAAGCCCTGGCCCGCTCTGCACCCCACTTTTGACAGACACGGGGTCCTCCCCAAGGTGCTGGTTTTTTGTTTTTTGTTTTTGGTACTGGGAATTGAACTCAGGACCTTGCTCTTGCAAGGCAGACAAGGTGCCACTGAGCTAAATCCCGGCTCAAGGTGCTGTTTTCTGAAATACAACTCCTGTGCTGGGGAGAGGCGTTAGTTTTGTGTCTAGCGCAGCAGTTCTCAAACTTTTAGTTTCTCAGAACCCCTTCAGCCCTTAAAACTGAGGACCCCAAAGAGCTTTGGTATACATGCATTATATCAGTATTCACAGTTTTAGAATGAGAACTGAGAAGCTGTAAAAATATCGATTAACCCATTTTAAAATGACAACAAACTCATTACATATTAACATAATATACTTCTACAAAAATAAATGTTTTGTGATACTGATAAGCAAACCCAGACACTTCACAATGAACTACATCCCCAATCCTTTTTAAATTTTCTACTTAAACTGGGCATGGTGGCTTGGTATCTTCCTGAAAGAATTAAATACATCATACCACAGCAATATATGCACACCCATGTTTATAGCGGCACCATGTGTAATAGCTAAATCTTAGAAACAGCCCAAATGCCCATCAACAGACGAATGGATAAAGAAGATGTGGGTTTTTTATACAATGGAGTACTGCTCTGCCATAAAGAAGAATGAGCTTCAGGCGTTTATAGCTAAATGGATGGAACTTGAGACCATACACTTAAATGAAATAACTCAGACACACATGTTTAAATACTGCATTGTTTCTCTGGTATGAGAAACCAAAAGTGGAAATAAGGACTAAAATGTACAATAGACATTGGGAAATGGGAAGAAAATGTTCAAATGAGAAGGGGAACAAGGGAGGAGGGAGGAAGGAAAGAAGGGACAAGAAAAGAAGAGAAAATCGAAGGAAAAATGGAAACAAAGCTTTTGTACATGGGGGGATGGGGGAAAAAAGAAAAATATATCATGTACAGGTACAAATTCCCTGTGATGAATGTATGGTATATCTAAAATGTACCAATAAATGTTTTGCTAAACATCATGCACTAAACTAAAATCAAACTGGATTAAAGATCTAAATATTAAAACAGACACACTAAACTTGCTGGAAGATAAGTTAGGTAGAACTCTCAAAGAACTTGGCATAAGAAAAGACTTTATGAACAAATCCTCAGTAGCACGGGAACTAGCCCAAAGAATCAACAACTGGGATCTCATCTT